ATGGAAAGCGTGGTGGCCTCACAACTCCAGGTATTCTTGAGAGACACGGATTATCTGGATCCGGCACAGTCTGGTTTCAGGCCGGGACATGGAACTGAGACGGTTATAAGGGTCTTCGAGGCTTATCAAGGCAGGGGGGAAACAATCAAAGAAATCCCACCGCTGCCACCAATTATAATAACTCAGAAGAGGCGTCTGGGCAGGGGGTCAAACGAATCCCACCACCGTCCTTCCTTAAATAAGGAATTCACACCACCTTGGTTCTAATAGTGCTTGAGGGGATGTCACGTTATGTAAAACTTTCGCTGCCACCAAAACTAAAGAAATCACGAACCCTCTAGCTATTTTTTAAAATGTTAAAAAGGCTGTTTAAATTATTAAAAGGCTTTTTATTCCACCAAAGGCTGTGTGTTATCAAGGGCTTTCTGTGAGGGGAAACAGAAGAGGTTGATTCAATAAGGAAAAGGATTCAAAACCAAAAATGGCACTTGACTCAGGCTTGACTTTTAAAAATAACAAGAAAGAGTTTATTGTTTACAAATTATAGATTTACAAGTGATATGCAGGTTCAGAGGCTTGATGGTTACAGATAAAAGTGTTCTTGTTTCTTATAAGCGTATTGGTTACTTGAGAGAATGTTCTTTTCTTAGTTACAATTTCTTAAACATAAAACCCCCAGCTATTTTCTTTCCCAAAATAGCTGTAACTCAGTCTGCCACAGCCTACTGTGCTGTGCAAACTACAGGCAAACTGCCTTTTCTTCACAGAGACTCCTAAACAATCCAACTCCTACTCTAATCTCTCTCCAGAACTAAACTGCTTTCACTCTACTCAGAACTCAGCTGAACTAAAAACTGAACTGTCAAAACTATCTCTTCTCTTTCCCTCCAACTGACTAACTCCGCCCCTCTTCCCTAAACCAATCCTGGCTGTTGCTGGGCTGGCACAGGCCTCGGCCACTCCCCCTTCTCTGAACTGGAGCTCTTTCCCTAAACTAAGATGGCTCCAGCAGCTCTCTGCCAGGCCTTCTAACTGAAACTACCTAGCCTGTCTCTTCCTGGGCCCTGCCACCCTGGCTGGCAAGGTAAGGGATCTTTACAACGGTCTTGGTCGCCTTAGTGGATGATCTGCGCCGGGAGCTAGACAGGGGGAGTGTGTCCCTGTTGGTGCTCCTGGACCTCTCAGCGGCCTTCGATACCGTCGACCACGGTATCCTTCTGGGGCGTTTTGCGGAAATGGGCCTCGGGGGCACTGTTCTGCAGTGGCTCCGGTCATTTCTGGAAGGCCGCTCCCAGAAGGTGATATTGGGGGACACCTGTTCAACGCCACAGCCTTTGACTTGTGGGGTTCCACAGGGCTCTATACTGTCCCCCATGTAATTTAGATTATTGTGTATTTTGATATGTTGATTCTCTGTTTGTGTTCTATTGTAAATGGTTTTTATATGTTGTACACCGCCGCGAGTCGCCCCAGGGCTGAGAGCGGCGGTCAACAAATGCACCAAATAAATAGACAGAGAAGGGTAGTCTATTTTACGGCCTTCTCTTGGCCAAATCGTGCTGATGTCTCCCCAAACCACAGCTCTCAATAGCATTGAGCCACCACAGTTGTCAAACTGCATTAATTCTAAGTGTAGATCAGGCATGGGCAAACTTGGGCCCTCCAGGTGTTTTGGACTTCAACTCCCATCATTCCTAATAGCCTCAGGCCTCTTCCTTTTCCCCCTCAGCCGGTAGGCTATTAGGAATGGTGGGAGTTGAAGTCCAAAACACCTGGTGGGCCGAAGTTTGCCCATGCCTGATCTAGATTGTCAAATTGATGCAGTTTGACCCAACCTTAACTGCCATGGCTCAACGCTATGGAATTCTGGGAGTTGTAGTTTGTACATGCACTATTGGGCCAAAGACCTCATAGAACAACAGCTTCCAGGATTCAATAGCATTGAGCCATAGCAGTTTAAGTGGTGTCGAATAGCATTCATTCTACAGTGTAGATACACTCTGTTCCCTTCCCTAAACTGCAAGTCCCAAAATCCCAAAGGTTATTGCCATGCCAGTTAAAGTGGAGTCATTGCACAATGACAATGTACTGTGAAAGAGTTCCTGTAAAGTAGAAAGCTGTGCATTATAACCTCTTGTACTCACCAGTAGAACAAAATGTGTTTATAATTTTTTGGTCCAGTTCTAAACACCTGTTACACTAGGTTAAATTTTAGTTCCATAGACACATGCAACAATTACAGGAAAGGAGATTCCACCTGAATATTAGGAAGAACTTCCCGTGAGAGCTGTTCACCAGTGGAACTCTCTTCCACTGAGTGCGGTGGAGGCTCCTTCTTTGGATGGCCATCTGTGCTTTGAATGAGGTTTTCCAGCTTCTTGGCAGGAGGTTGGATTGGATGGCTCACGATGTCTCTTCCAACTCAATTATTCCATACGATTCTATGACATATTCTATTGCTCCATGGGGTTTGTTGTGGGAATCCAATAGTGTAAGTAAAATTAATGAATCTGCGCTTCCTCCATGTGTTGTGGATTTCCATTAGTTTGAAAATGGGTCTTACTGTGGACAGCTAGAAGTGTCTCAGGTTGGATCTACACTGCCATATCATCCAGATTTTCTGCTTTGAATTGAATTATATGAGTCTACACTGCCATATGGCAGCGTAAATGGGGCCTCATTTGTTCCAGAAGTCCAAAACACCATTCCTTAATGTTACAAGCCCTTGTGAACTCTAAACGTTCTCCTTTAAAGTTCTCTGCCACAAATTGATAGTTTTCAAACCAAGAAAATTATTTTTTGTTGGGAAAAAAAGCATCTAATTGCAACTTTTTTGCAACAGAGAGGTGTGAGGAGACTACGTTCAAGAAAAGCGTCACAGGAGTGGTCTCCCTGGTGTTGTACATTCGTGTCCACTGCCTATACTACTTTTTAGAACTTGTTGATTTTAGTACATTAGTACATGGACAAGATAGATTCTCTAGATTTTTTCTTAAGTTGAATTTGTATGTAAGTCAGAACAGGTACATTTTTGAAGTGTAACTCCAGCCACACACACACACACACACACACAGAGAGAGAGACTGAGAGTGCTTTGGGTGTTATAGAGAAGGGTTAACACCGCTGTGGTGTTTGTTCTGTGGTCTATGCCCCTGTCCAGAAGATTTCAGCTCACTTACTGCCCCTATGATCATTGGATTTTGAGAAATATGGCTTGTTATGGAAACAAAGCCTCAGTGGATACACCTTTTCCACATGATAACTCTTTCAGGAGTGAATTTCCCTTCTGAGAGGGAGATTTTTCTCACTTTCTTACAGTTTGGCTCCCGTTCTTAACAGATGTTTGTAACTCGGGATATGCCTGTATACACATGCTATATATCTATATATATTTTATCTTTTATAATTTAGCTGTAAATCGTCTGGAGCATTCTCGGATGGAGGGCGATTAATAAGTTATTAAAAGATGATGATGATTATGATGATATAATATTGATTTATATTCTGTTTTGTCCTCAAAATTGTGACCCAAAGTTGCTTACTATTTAAAAGAACAATGCAGTTAAAAATACAGAAAGTAACTATTGAAATATAATTAAATTAGTTACACTATGGAAACAATTCCCTTCTGCAATTAAAAAGATAAAAAGCTTCAAAAACTGGAAGGGATGGTTCACATGGCCTTCTCATGTACTCTGGACTTGGAACATTAGATGCCACTCAGGGCCTATCCAGACAACCCGTTTAACGTGGGAGTTCCCAAAATGAAAAGGGGGGCTGTCCAGATGATGTACTAGGCAAACCCTGGTTTGTGGCGAATTAATTTGTTAGTGGGTTTATTCTGCGCCTTTTTGGAAGGCGCGGAATAAACCCACTACTTCTGGTGCCTGGACTGCTCCCTCAAAAGTTCTAGACTTTTGAGGGGGCAATCCAGACAGTAGTTCTATGGTTTTCCCGCGCTAAATTAGCCTGGAAAACCACAAGGCCACCAACCCCCTCCCCAAAAGCCTCCAAAATGGTTCTTTTGTAAGTTCTTTTGTTTTTTAAAGGGCTTTTGGGGAAGGGGTTAGAGTGTCCGGGTGTTCTCCCGGAAAGTTCCGGGAGAACATCTGGACACACATCCCAGAAATCATTGGCTTTCTGGGGTGTGTGTGGATAGATGCCCAGGAACATTTGTGTTTTTTAAACGTGAATGTTCCTGGGATAAAGGGCTGTGTGGAAGCTCTCTCAGACAAATCAGTTAGGGATAAGTGGTCAACGTACAGCCGCTTCTAGTTGTCAGAGAAACAAATACATACTGGAAATGGAAAAAATGGAAAAAGCCTTTACCTCTGTTTATGTATTGTCTGTCCTTGTTAATTGTATAACGGCATTGAATGTTTGCCGTATATGTGTTCTGTAATCTGCCCTGAGTCCCCCTCAGGGAGATAGAGCAGAATATAAATAAAGTATATTATTATTATCATTCCCTACAATATAGTGACAGGAGCACACTAACAACTGCGAGAGACAACAACTACCATGTAGAAGCTATAGTGGTAACTCTAAACATGTTCTTCCATGAGGCACATTATACAGAATACAGTAACTTCATTAAAGGGGAAAATGATGCCTGGAAACATGGGAAGTTGTCCTATGAGCTGGCAAATGTTTTGGTTTTTTTTTTTTTGTCATTTCAATTATAATATGCTTTTCCATTTTTTTATCATGTGTACATTCTTTGTTCTGCTGTTTATTGCTGGGTGCAGAAAGGGTAAAGATAACTTTTGTTTTTCTTCCGCACTTTCAATATCAATACAGAAATGTTACTTCCACTAAGTTTTGAAACTCAACTCTTGCTTTCTGGAAGCCATACAGTGGTAAGTGGAATGAGTTTCCAAAGAGCTGTTAGAAAAGAAAAAGAGAGAGCAAAGGGAGCACAACGGAACTCCAAGCAATAGTAAACTTGAGGAATTTACAAACAAGGGGCAGAAAACATAAATCTGAAACATCAACACAACACCAAGAAATTCCATTTAATAATTAAAAAAGACAATACAAAATGCAAACTTCTCTTTTTACAAGTTCAGATACAATTTATTTTATCAAGTGCAAATAACTTTATGGACTACACCTTTTTCATCATTTTTTTTTTGGCAGGAGATAATGGACTGTGGTACACCTCAAAATGCAGTTATAAATATTTTGGCTCTGTTGTCTAAACATTGTTATATTTCCTATGTTCAGAAAGTATTTTCAGCTTTTTAAACCTTTTGGAATTTCCACATCTGGATTATGACAAAATGAAAACAAGAGATCTAGCCAGAATGTAGGTAGAATTCTTAAGCCAAATGCATCATGCATTTTATTTTCAAAGTTGGCTTCTATTTCACCCTCTGCATCTTCATCTTCCTCTTAATAAACATGGGTGTCTCTTGCATCCCATAATAAATACATATTGTAGAGGGAAATCTATCTGATGGGATTGTTGCTGAATGCTGTATTAGCTCTTATGGTGAAGTCTGCTGCATTTTATTTCCAATTCTACTTTATTACTGAAACAGTTCCAGTATATTTTATTAGACTATGGATCAAGGTGTAGATGGGAGGAATAGCAAGCTAATAATATCCATGTAGAAAAGCTCCAGTGCCAGCAAATGGAGATTATCCTGCCCAAGTGCAGGCCTGTTCAGGTGACAATTTGGTTTCCTAATTTCAGGTCATGGCTCAGAGACGGCAACAATTACACCAGTGTAAGTTTGAAATTCCCCACAAGTATTTGCACTTGAAAGGATATAAGATCCTGCAGGGAAACCTTAAACTGATCCAGAAATCATGTTGTTCAGGGCTAATATTAGCAAGGACTCCAAAGCCCCTATTCATTCTAGGGTGTCTACCACAGAACATACGAAGATGAGATTGCCTTCGAGAATGTGCATAAAACATTTCTCTCTTCACTGACAATCAGGGTTTAAGGGAAAAAAATAACCTTTGGGTGTGATTTCCAAGATGTCTTATTTTAGAAACCAGAGACTCCTGAAATATTCAAAAGGGGTTCTCAAATCTGAAAGTTATCAAAATTTCCCTGTCTATCAAGAAAATTTGATGAGTTTCCTGATTAAGAAAATCTGACCAATTCTTAAAAGCTGCTTGTGACCAAAACATGATTTCTAGTCAGCTTATATCCTGGACCTTAACTAGTTTACAGGATGGTTGAGGGCTCTTCCACACAGCCCTCTATCCTAGGCAGAAAATCCAACAATATCTTTTGGGTTATCTGAGTCCACACTCAGATAATGTGGGATTTTCTGCCTTGATGTTCTGGGATATAGGCCTGTGTGGAAGGGCCCTGAGTTTGCTTTTCTGGGTTTAAACTGGGATTTAGTTACCGTGGTTGAAGAAATCAAAAGATTTCAAGAGCTGAAAACTTAAGTCACATTTAGTCATCATTTCACCAACTCCTTGTCTGTATTCTTTGCTGTTTCATTATTAACACATGCACGCTCTCTCACACACATTCTCTTTTCTCAGGCAGGTATAAATATTGCAGTTTCTAGTAGAAAAAAATCCCTCTAAATAATATAAAGACAACTCAAAATGATTGCACTTAATAATATGAAAAAGGTAGAAAGGAGAATATCCTAGTGCACAAACATTCACTCACTCCTGCCCTTCACACTGTTTTCTCTTTTGTCATCACCGAGTTACTCTTTGGCAGAGCTTGCAAGAAGTCTGAACTCACATCACAAGTGTCCATGGGGGAGAAATCACATTGGATAGTCTCGCTTTTCACCAAGTTTTGCTTCCCCCTTTTCCAGACATCATTCCGTAAGAGAACATGGCTAGGCCATGCTTTCTTCAAACACAAAAGTCAGACTCCACCATGAAATGATGGTCTTCTAGTCACTAAACTTGCTGTCACACAAACATGGGCCATTTTCTTTCACACTTGCCATCTCTCTCTCTTTTTTTCTTCTGAACGATCTTGCCAACAATTTATATATATTTATATCCTCTCTGCAAGACTGTGCCTGATTTATTTATTTTTCTTTTAAAAGCATGACAGTCTTAAATAAGGCATCACCTTCTGCATTCTGGACATCCTTTGTCCCCAGTTCTTCACAAGAGAGTTCGGCTGGACCACCTCCATCGCTTAGCAGCTTCTCAAAGTCCCTCATTTCGCCTGTGTCCCAGAAATGGAGGCATTTCATGATGGCAGAAACAGTCATGCAGAGAGGTGCCTCAACAGCCTCTTTGATAACTGTCCTGCAGCACAAAGGGCTGCACATTTTTTTGTGTATATGGGAGAAAGTTGAGATATGCCTGGAGTGACAGGTCTCAGTAAAGGCCCCTTGTGAGAGAGCCTCACTTAATAGGATGTGTAATCCCCATCGGTTGAGACCCCAGTAGGGAAAGCACAGGGGATGGGATTATATTCCTCATGGCTGCTAGTTGCTCCTTCTGTGAATAATGTGAACAGTGAATTGGGGCTGAAGAAAAGCCAAGGAAAGACCAATGATTAGAGACTTCTGCGTATTGATAGACTGGATCAGGGGTTGTATTTGTAGAAAAAGTCACTGGAAAAACAAGAATAAGTGTTAGAAAAGAAGTTTTCTTGGCTGTTGAGGGGCCTAGAAGGCTGGTGCAAATGCCAAGGGGCTATTTGTAAGGTCTCAGAAAGCTGGAAACTTTGGAGCGGAGGAGTTTGATGAAGGAGCGTGGCAGCATCTCCTTGTGTTTCTCTGTGTATTTGAAGTAATTCTGTGGGTGAGCCAGCACATCAAAGAATGCTTTGATCAGCTTCTTGTCCTGCAGGAAAAACAAATAGAACAGCTGCATTAACCTTCAAGGCAGGGTTAGGAATTGGGTGCTTTCCAGATGTTGCTAAATTGCAGCCCTGCAATGTTATATATTTATTTATTACACTTATATTCCACCTTTCTCCCAAAATGGGATTCAATTATTCTACAAGGATCCAGAAAAAAATTGATTTACAAACACAAAAAGGTACTAAATACCAATATTATTAAAGACATTTAAAACACTTAAATTGTAGTTTCAACAAAATATTCAAAATACAGATATACATTTTAGTTAAAACCAATATGCTTGTCTAAATAAAAACCTCTTTGCTTGCCAGCAGGAAGAGAGCTAGGAGGGAGCCAACTGGACTGTCTGTGGAAGGGAGTTCCTCAACCCAGACCAACCACAGATATGGCTCTCACCTCTTTCCTTACCAACCATGCCTACAAAGGTGGTGGGACTGAAAGAAAATCCTCTCTTAAGGATCTTACAGCTTGCACTGGTCTATATAAAGATATGCAGTGTTCAGATAGTCCGAATCCAAGATATGTGAGGTTTTAAAGGTAAAAAAAAAAATAGCAGCAGGAATGTGCCCAGAAACAAATCAGTGGCCAAGTTGTTTCAACAGTGGAGTTCTATAATCGCTGTAAGCAGCTCTGGTCAAAAGACTGGCTGCAGCATTTTAAACCAACTGAAAGACTGGAGCCTCTGTAAAAAAAGTCTATTTAAGCCCCATCTCAGAGAAACAACCCAAAAGGATACCATGGTTGATGATATCACAAAATACCGAGAGATCCAGCAGTATTAAAGGAACACTCCTCCAGTCTAGTCACTTGTGACTGGTTAGGCCTGCCAGAAGAGACAGGTCTGAAGTTGTGTCTTAAATTCTAACAGTTGTTTTAGCTGTCAGATCTCTTCTGGCAGGTCATTCCACAGTCATGGGATGACCAATGAAAAGGTCCTCTCTCTGAGTGGAGGTCACTAGTTCTGTCTAGTTGAAATAAGCATCCGCCAGAGAACATCAGTGTCCTAAGGGGTGGATTGTACAAGAAAAGGCAATCTTGAAGGTAATCTGGACACAAACCGTATAGAGCTTTAAAGGCCAAAACCAACACATCACCACAGTTTGTTTTAGGCAAGATGTTTAACCCCAATAATGCAAGGAAACAGCCTTGCCTTTAGGATTTCTTGATGGTTTTCAGAAGCATATAACCTTCCATCTCGAACAATGTCCTCCACCAGCTGTTCATAATCTTCTGCATTGTTAGGAGAGAAAAGGTCAAGTAGACAGTCAGTAAAGAAATATAATCAGGAAACTCATCAATATTTACACACATATACACTTTTTAATTGTTATGTTTTGGTATAGTACATTCTTCATTTCTTCTAAATTTATATAATAAGAGTGCCATTCCATATTTCAGAGTAACTCAGTGACATAGATCTTTTGGGGGAAACTGTGATTTATCAACATGGGAGTCTTTGTTTGTTGGATAATTAAAGAAAGATGTTCAATACATACATACAGATCATGAAAAGAAGAGAACCAGGCCGATTTATGGGATTCAAGGACAAAGAATTCCAAAGAATTATGGGACAACATAGAGGAGGGTAGAAAGGAATAATATATTGGCAGTGGTAGAAGGAAAGAAGGGACTTCCTAATCAAATTAAGATTTTTTTTCTACATTTCAGATTTAACAAATACTATTTAAAAATATTTTAAGGAAATTTTGTATGCATATTTCCTAAAGCATTCGTGTTACAGCAACATTCCCAAACTTCATGTTCTACCAAATGAACAAGCACCCCCTAAGAGCCAAGATAGCTGGGAATAATACGAGCTATAGTCTCAAGCCATTTGGAGGGTGCTTGATTGTTCCAGAATTGCGAACTGGAAGATATGAACAAATAACAGTGTGAATGAACTGTGGCTTGTAGAAACTACACCCTTCTGTGTTGTTCTGTTCATGGTAACACAGAACTGTGGCAAATAAACTATTGTCATATTTCTGTGGCCCTTGAGGAAATTGCCTGTAATTTTTATATGAGATGCTTCCCAAAGCTTCACTACTCAGCATTTGTTTCACTTATGTGTATTTCTCATTAGGAACAGAATTTTTAAATGATCTACACTGCTTTGAAGAAAACTGCATTATAGTCATCATCTGAACATAAAAGGAGGTGTTGGGACTTCACATTCTGTTTCTATTTTGATTTTGCTTTAACCTTCACACACCTCCACATGTAGTCAATTCATGGAGAAGGGTCACCTTCTGGGGCCTCTCCAGATACCAAGCCATCCTGCTCTCCATTTAAACAGACACCAGTTGAAGCCTCTGCATATACAATTATGTGTGGGCTTTGCAGAAGTGCGGTCTTCAATGGATGTACATTGTGAAGTGGGATCAGTATTGACAATTTGACTGGCAGTGGCTCTCCAGAGTTTCAGTCAGGTTTCTTAGTTCAGTCTGGAGATCCCTAGTATTTTCTGATCATCTCACATCTAACAACTAACTATAACTGTTTAGTTTAGAAAATCAGATGAGATTGGGAATGTTAAGGGTGGAATGATGCCAGAGGTGCGACCAGGGGATGCTTTCAGACTCCATCATCCAGAGTTTTTGTCTAGGAATGAAGCAACATTTCCAGGGTGCCGGCTGCACATTCACCTACAACAATAGCTTCCTCCAACTTACCATCATAAGTAACATATGGGATCTGGAAACCTCTAGCACTGTTGGCTTCACTAGTTTTAAAGTTAATCCACAGTTTTCGAGACCTAGCAGTGAAGGCAATGGGCCTTTCATAGGTCTGGCACGTCTCATAGGTTGTGATTGAGGAAGGAGAGGCTACAGGGAAGAACACAACAAAACCAATGTCATACAGACAACATATTTGCAGAACGATTGTGTTAAAACAGCTGGCGTGGGGAGGAAAGGGACCTTAGTAGTTTAAGCAGGACCTTTTCTACTTTTTTATCTCTACTTGAGATAAAAGTAGGTGCATTTGTTCTATTCTGGAGTCTTTGTCCAAGGAAGGTAGCTTAATTAATGACAAGGCTATGTCCTTTCTCAAATTAGGACAGAATATCTAAAAGGGCTATTTAGATTTCATATTCAGTAGCTTAATGGCTACCTTTGAGGAATATGGACATGCATATCATATTTGTGGCCCAACAAGATTATACTTCCTAAAAGGAGAAAACACATTATGAAAGAAAACTAGAATGAGGGCGCAAAAAGTATATATTGTGCAGACAACTCCACAAGCATTTTTCTACAGAGAGGGAAAAGACAGAAGAAGCAATGGAAAGATACAGTAGGGTTAAAAACATCTTTGGGCAGTTCTTAAACTAATATCACAAAAATGTAGACTGAACCACCTGTGCTGATCATACAGTTGTCCCATTATGCCATGTAGATGGACAAGGAACACATGTACATTTTCCTTTTTGTAACTTTCAAAGGGGTTATTATGGGTTCCTGAGGAAAATTTTCTAGATCAAGGATGATCAATAACGCTTATCATTCTTCAGCAGAATAGCTAAAGAATGACGGGAATAGCTTCCAATAAAAATGCTTGAAGTTGCAGTTTAGCAAACTGGAAGATCACACTTTGTCCACTATATTAACACTACATTTCATAATGTTTTCAGACAAGATTCTTATTGTGCAATCACTCACAGGATTTTACCAGGGATAGATGGGTTTTTTTTATCTACCATTTTTGAGAAGGACTTTTAAAGCTTTCTTTAAGTTCACTCCTAACCTGTAACTCACTTAGTCCAGAAGAACCAAATGTCCTTCAATGTAGGACAGCCAAGCTGTCAACATAAAGAGGTTTCAGGAAGAGATATATGAAGAATACTTGCATTTAACCGTATCTTGGCACAAAGACATCCCAATGAGAAAATAGCCAACACTGTGAGATGTACTTTGTTCCATATTTGGTAATTTAAAAGTGTTTTCAGAAAACAAAATGTGTGAAAATGGAGGGGGGTGCATATAAATAGTGTACGAAACAATGTATTTTCCACAGAAAATTCCACATTTTTGGTGCACAAAATCTTGTTTTTTGCACAAAATTCCTATTTATTCAAAATAATTTTAAGTTACTTTTGTGGACTGCAACTCTCAGAATCCTAGAGCTAACATGGCTAGTTACCATGCTGCCTAGATAATTCTCAGAGCTATAGTCCAAACTACAAGAAAGGAGATACCATCTGAACATGAGGAAGAACTTCCTGACTGTGAGAGCCATTCAGCAGTGGAACTCTCTGCCCCAGAGTGTGGTGGAGGCTCCTTCTTTGGAAGCTTTTAAACAGAGGCTGGATGGCCATCTGTCAGGGGTGATTTGAATGCAATATTCCTGCTTCTTGGCAGGGGGTTGGAGGTCTCTTCCAACACTTTGATTCTATGATGCTATGATTCTATGGTCTGGAGTATCTTGGATTGTTTGCATTGTACTCTTAACATGACCATTTCCTGGAAAAAGGAGTTTCTGCTTTTCTCAAGACCTGCTCTGCAACAGCACCACTACAAATGATACTATAGGTAGCAGAAATCATGTGACAACTGATAGCATAAAGTTGCTGACTTGACTTGGTATTTACTTATTTAGACATCACCTTGATAAACATAGTTCACTTTCCTTAATCACTCACTGGAATTGATAAGGAGACAAAGCCTCCTCTATTCCCCAAGGTTCCTGCAGTCCAGAATGTTGGGAAAAAGTCTAGACTGGTTCCCATTGCCCCACTATCCTCTGCATAACCTCAACACAGCATTTGGTTACCTACAGTTTTTCCGCATAACTAGAACATCCCCACATTCATCCTCAGATGGCAGGAAAATTTCAGGCACCACAATAAGGATCTTGCGCTTTGGAGGAGGGTTGATATTCCAAGTGCACTCCACATTTGCAGGATAGTTTCCAGGGTAATTTGGAGACTCAATATAGCCAGTGTACTCGCCCAGCTCCCCTCCACACTGACGGTCTGGAAGGAAACAGACAGAGATGACTGTGACATGAATAGGGAACACACTGTATTTCGCTGTAAAAGGTAGACTGGGACACTATCCTGTTGCTGAGATGTGACAAAGATCAGTGACAAAGATCTGTCTATAGCAGGTATGGTAGGTAAAGGTTTTCCCCTGACATTAAGTCCAGTCGTGTCTGACTCTGGGGGGTGGTGCTCATCTCCATTTCTAAGCTGAAGAGCCTGCGTTGTCCATAGACACCTCCAATGTCATGTGGCCAGCATGACTGCATGGAGCGCTGTTATAGCAGAGCTTTCCTAATATTTCATGTTGGTGACATGCTTTTTACACATGCATCTAAAATCTAAAATATGTCATTTATTGTTTATTTCACGAAGGCTCAGAGGTTTCTAATTATGTTTATGCGGCACACCTACACAATGCAGTGTAACGACACACAATTTGGAAATCTCTGGTCTATAGTCAAGTCTCCTAAGACACTAGAGAGAAGTTTATTTTCATAAGGAAAAATAAGAGGAAAGCAAGGTCATATCCATACATAACAATGCTTCCCTCCCCTCAAATTTTACATCATTTGTTTATTTTATTGATATGTACCGTATATGTGTGACATCAAATTGTTGCCTTCTGTAAGGCTGCTTTGAGTCCCCTTTGAGGTGAAAAGGGCAGGGGACAAAATTGGTAAATAATAAATAAATAAAATCATTTAAAGAGACTAAAGCATACTTTTGCACTGTGACACAGAGGTTGAGCCATCAAAATCTGTGGTGGTATTTCCAGGACATGTGATGCAGTAGTTCTGACGAAAGTCTGGCTGGTAGGTGCCTATAGCACAGCGGATGCAGCGATGGACAGTTGTGTTATAATAATGGCCTGGGGAACATTGAACTATATATTGAAGAGAAAAGAAAAATGTCAAGGACGTTTTTTGAAAAATCATAAAACCAGTAAACATTACTGTAAGTCAAAAATCACCTGCACAGTAAATGTAATAGAAGCAGTGGTGATAACGTGCCCTCACTAATCATGTTGGAATTCTATATGAACCTAATGGTTGGTGATAGAGAACCCTATAGAAATGAATTATTTATGGTCCAGAAATATCATAGAGTTATACTGGAGGGTCTACAAAATGCCTAGAAATTATATTTTGTCAGAAATATGTCAGAAATGTAAATGAAATTGTAGGTACCAGTTTTGCAGATATGGGGGTCATACTTTATTACAGGAACGGAAATATATATCCCAGTTACATCAATAAATGGGTTCTCATAATGTGGATCTTATCTTTTACATGTTATGTTCATACATCACAATACAATATGTGTGTGCCTCTTTGATCTTGTTCCTTGGGGATTAGATGGTTGATAAAGCTCAAGCACACAGTCACAGTGAAATCGTCATCTATTGTCAAAGGCTTTCATGGCCGGAATCACTGGGTTGTTGTAGCTTTTATTGGGTTCGTGGCAGATTTGAGATTCAAACTAGGGATTTTGTGGTTGACAGATTAATCTCCTAATCAGCATGCTACACTTCATTGTTTCTAGCTCAATTAGTCTGGCAGATTATTGAAAAATATCATGTGCTAGAATAATTTGGAGAATACAGCCAAATTGATATGAGTATTCAATTCATCCAAAAGAAGCTGAGTCAAGAGAGTCTTTGCTCCAACCTTCACCCTTGGTGATTGGCACAGGTATCATCTGTACTTTCAGACCCAGCTGCTGCCCCAAGCATACCTTTTGTATCACAGTCTTGGAAGGAAAAGGCTCCATCATGCCTGGTGTTCAATCCTCCACCACAATGGAAACACAAAGCTCGGCCAGCTTCAGGCTGGTAGGTCCCACGTGGACATGGCTGGCAGGGTTTGAAACCATCCACAGAGTACTGACCAGGGGGACACTGACCTGTTGGCCACCAAAAGAAAAAAAGATGGTTATTGGACCAAATGAAATAACTCTCCTCCCCGACGTTGCTTCTAAAGTACCAGCTGCATGCAACATGCAATCTAAGCTGTGGACCCATGGGAGAGGGCCATGGGAGCCATTCACCATCCCAGATCTTGTTGCCTCAGGCAACAATTGTACCTCTGCACTGGAATGTAAAAACCATTTATCCAAGTCCTGGTACTGAACAAGGTTTGGATAAACTGGGCCACAAAGCTGAACTACCTGGTGAGGCTTCATAAAACCAGGAAATTGTTTCACTTCTCATAGCATTGTTGTAAATTTTGAACTTTCAGAAGGACTACCAGAGGCAGCAATAGTATTAACCGGGAATAGATTCTGTATATTTGCTTGGCATACTCTCTCTCTTGCACATTTTGCCCTTTTTCTGAGTGCCATTAAAGTCAATTAGTGTTTACATCTCATTTTTCAGAGAATTAGGATATAGCCTGGAATATGTGTACAGCTGTAGCCCCACATGAATCAGGGCTCTTTTCCAGAGACAACACCAAGATATTATTGTAGGAAATCAAAAGCTGCAGCAGGTGCCATATTCTTACATACAAAACCAGTAACTTGGGATTTTACTAACTGAATGAAATATTTCAGTTGAGTGCCATTACTCCCACACTAGTGGCCTTGTTTTGGTATTTGGAATACCATTAATTCAATTCCCTTTACTAGGGCTCCCAATTGCTAGCACTATTGTTTTTAAAAATATTGTTAATGTTTTTTAAAGTCAACAGTAATATGAGGTTCCAGAGTCCATTATATTTAGCTAGCGTTGCCTATTTTTATGACAGGAAGATTTTCCCTAATGGTTTATTTGCTTGGTGTCTGGGCTGAATTTCTCCTAGCTGTAATTTTACCTTCTCAGAGGCAATTTTGCAAGTATACTAGGATACTGAATCCTGACTATAGGCTTAAGGTACCTTGCAGCTCATCCCTGTACCTGCACAGGTGCTTATATTTGTTGCTCCAGCTGGCCCATAAGCATCACTTCCAGGGCAAAGATCACAAGAGAGCTGGCCTTCTTTCTCCTGGTAGGTCCCTGGAGGACAAGGGACACACTGCTCCATCTGGCCATGGTAATATGTTCCTTGCAGGCAGCTAACTAAGAGAGAGGCAAATGTGCTAGTGACACAAGTAAAATGACAACGCTCAAGATATCCCTGGTCCTTTGGATCGCCACTTGCCCAATTTGACCGCAGTAACTGTAGCTATGTCTATAAGCACATGCGGCTGCCATAGATGTTAGAATTGGCAACGAGGGCTTCGAGCAGCAGCATAGCACTACAGGCTTGCAGTTAAGCTGAAAATGGTGATTTTGCCCTTCCTTTCCTCACTCCCAAGGGATTCAGGTTGCTTCCTTACCACACTTGGGTCCCAGTCTCTGTTGCCCTGGACCACAGTTCTCCTGCCTTTCCGGAGTCATGCTCAGCTTTCGTGCCACCTCGTATTCCATTCCTGAAAAACGGATCAGGAACCGTTCCTGGTTTATGGATTTCTTCAGGGCTTTGATGGCTGACTTCAGTTTCTTCTCCACCTTCTGCCTCACACAATTCAGATTGCAGCTGGCTGGAGATAAGGGAAGAAGACCATGCTATTACCTAGTCTTAGTATGAGAGGTAGTTTTTATGACCTCACCAACCACCGTTCATGAGAGTATGGACAATGACTTTTAAGGCTCAGGGTTTGAATGCCCACTCAGCCAGAGAAACCCAGTAGGTGAACTTAGGCAAGTCACAATCTGTCGGTCTCAGAGGAAGGTAAAGCTAAACCCACTGTAAATAAATCTTGACAAGAAAACTCCATGATAGGTTTGTCTTAAGGTCACCAAAAATCAGAAAGCACATGACAACAAAAGCCACCATTCTTTGTGGTATGTGCCATCATCATTTGTTAACTGCCATCAAATTGACTTTGACTTATGACAACCCTATGAGAGACTTCCAAGTGGCCCTGCTCAGGTCTTGCAGACTCAAGGGCAGACTTAGTCCAGGCATGGGCAAATTTTGACCTTCCAGGTGTTTTGGACTTCAACTCCCACAATTCCTAACATCTGGTACTGGCAGGGATTTCTGGGAGTTGAAGTCCAAAACACCTGGAGGGCCAAAGTTTGCCCATGATTGATTTAGTCTATCCATCTGTCATGTGATTTTCCCCTTTTCCTACTGCACTATTCTTTTTCTAAGTGAGTCATGTCTTCCCATGATATGTCCAAAGTACAACAGTTTCAGTTTAGTAATCTTGGCTTTCAGGGAGATTTCAGGTTCAATTTGCTCCCATATCCCTTTATTAGCAATCCACAGTATATGTAGAACTCTCCCCCAGCACCCATTTCAAATTATTTGATTTTCTTCCTATCAGTTTTTTTTATTGTCCAGCTTTCACAACCATACATAGAAAATGGAAATATGAGTCTGGAATATTTCTAACTTTAGTATTTAATGATATATCTTTATATTTCAGAAACGTGTCAAGTTCCTCTAAAGGTGTTCTCCCAAATATTAGCTTTCCTCTGATTTCTTGACTATGGGTTCTTGGAGCTCTTCACAAGGTGCATTTTTGCCCCATTTTGCTGCTTTTATGTGTGCCACTTTCATGCCATCACATGACGCACAGCAGGCCCTGCCCACATTCCTCAAAAACGTGTTTTCTTCTCCACTATGGGGAGGAAAGTGTAATTTGTGTAGCTCCAATGGAGCTACCAGCACTTTCCTCCCCTTTTTGCTGTGTGATGGCAGAAAGGGTGGTGGGACAACGCACATTGCTGTCCTTTCTGCCCTCTGATGGGGGGAGGGAAAGGGTGCCAAAGCCTGATGAGAGGAGGGAGAGTGTGCGGGACACCACGAGCCGCACCATACGCCTTCTCTTTTGCTGGCAATTGTACCAAGTCTTTGTAATCTGCTTCATTCACTTAGAAAGGCAGTCAATTTACTGCTTGTTTACCTGTGTGGTGAACAAGGATATAGATTTTCAGAGACAAGAAGGCAAGAGCCCAAGAGCTCTGAATAGCTACAATGGAAACTACAATGTAAATTCCACTCACTATTGAATTTCTTGCTATGACTGCAGTAGAGTCATTTAAGACTAAGCAAATATTCAGTATAACTCTTTTTGGTGGTTGCTATTTTATTCCATAAAAACTGTTTTCTTTAGCAATACAATGTTTTTTTCAATTGCAATACTTTTACCAATGAAGGTATGTAACTCACTAATGTCGTAATGTTGGTTACTGTATTGGTAGTTTTTATAATTGGGAAATATAGAAATGTAGTTAAAAAAACCTGAAGAACCATGGGGATGATGTCACATGAGTGTTTCATGAATGGCAAGTGAACAAAGATTGGGCATTTTATATTAAATACCAAATGTGGAATCTCCCTGGTCCCTTTTGGGAAAGCCGAACCGTTTCAGTTGCCTTCCTTACCTGTGATCTCTTCAGGTTTGATTTCAGCTTCAAACTCCAATGTAATGCGTGTCACCTCCTTGTTGGGAGAGTTTCGAGCCCTGCGCCCTTTGCCTTTCTTTGATGAGTCACACTTTAGGTTCACAAAAGTCACCTGGCAATCAGAGCAAGAAGCCGGCCCACCTGATAGAGATGGCACAGGGTCAATATTCTTTCAACAGAATCTCTCTGAAAACCTGACAGGTATTTTCCTTTGTTTTTTCAAGGATTCTTCTCCTTTATCCCAAGTCTCTTGATTCAACTCTTACTTGATAAGCAGTTAAGACACTTCCTTATGCATGATTACAAAGTGATACATTCCCACACAGAAGTTAAGACTTAAGAGTCTCCAGCTCTTCTTCCCTGGAATCTGGCTTTCAAAGCATGAATTATACAGCATAATTATATGCTGTTATGGCAATGTAAAAAAAAAAGAGTTTACCAGTTACAAAATCACTATGGATAGAATGTACACAAGAACTATTTTCCAGAGTGTGAGTCAGGTTGTTAGAGAAAAAGTACTGCTGCCATCAACAACGAGTCTAGTGGCACTCTGAAGGAGACATGGAAAAAATATTCAAATGTCCAAGGAAAAAAAATGAAAAAGTGGCTTTTCAACTGTCTAAACATCCCAACATGAAGAATCCTGCTCAAGCCCTTTTCTCAGTTCTCACTAGGATTTGACTCTCAATGTCACATAGCAAGTGACATTGAAAGTCAAAAACAGAAAGGAAACAGCCAGGAAAAGATCCTGGAAAACTATGGCCTTCCATATCCTTAGCTAGTCCCATGCCTTGGATGTTATGTATTGGACCAGCTAGAGCAGTGGTTCTCAATCTGTGAGTTCCCAGGTGTTTTGGACTACAACTCCCAGAAATCCCAGCCAGTTTATCAGCTGGGTTGTTGTAGGTTTTTCGGGCTATATGGCCATGTTCTAGAAGCATTCTGTCCTGACATTTCATCTGCATCTATGGCAGGCATCTTCAGAGATTGTGAGTTTACCAGCTGTTGAAGGCCAAAACATCAGGTGACCCAGAGGTTGAGAATCACTGAGCTAGAGGATCTCCCTCCCTCTGCCCCACGCCAGAAACTTTCTTCCCATTTGAGAATCACTGAAATCTGCATAGTTTTTGAAGACATCTTGAAGTGATGGGGAGAATACTGATAAAGTCATTTGTTTTTCCTTGCGGTAAATGAATAATTGAATACAACATATGAAGTGGTCCACAGTTCACAAAATCCTACACAACAAATAAACTTTATGGATATTGGCTCATTTCATCAGATCTTTTTCAGTCCACTTTGCACATGATGATGTGGGCCACAGATTATTAAAGCTCATGCCAAATACAACATTTTAGTATTTTAGATGTAACAAGATTCCTTGTTTTTATTATGATCTAAGATTGGAAACACGCAATGGAATTCTGCAAAACGACATACAAATGAGGGACTATCTCACCTAGTGCAGCATTCCTGACCATCTCCTCCTGCTTGCCTTTCATGCGCGGATGCAAATGACACTTAGCATCCTTGATTTTGAAGGAAGCCTTTTGTTTGATTGGAGTAGTGACCGTCTCTAAAAGAAAGGGCAGGTGCTAAGCATCAAAGGAACCAACTAGGTCTGGGGAGAAGATCTGAGGACTCAGGTGATCAAGCTTACCAACACAGGGATAGCTGCCATTACTGGACCTGGGTGGAGGCCCCTGCCGCCAGATTGGGGTCCCACAGCTAACTGTATAGCTGTTGTCAGACTCTGTAAAGAGAAAGAAGATCAGTGGGAATCTGTGGTCAAATAGTTCTAAATGTTTGCCTGCATGGACCTGCATGTATTTGCAACTCTTGAAAGACTGGCCCAGGCCTGATCTTGTCCGCTAATCACATGGAAGAAGAAAGTACCAGGAACCCATTACAATATTATTTTGATTACTTGCATTAAGAAAGGATAAACAATGCTCCAAAGAATCCCCATGAAGTAAAAGTACATCAAAGGAGTCTAGCTGATGCCAGAGACTGAATAGTTTGAACAAATTCCCAAGGCCTGGGGAGTGGGGAGGGCATACATGAGTCAAATCACACAAGCCCGTTAGAGAGTGTGAGCCAAAAATAAAAGTATGATGTACAACTAATATCTGTTTACAGGAACAGTGTTTCCAAAATTCTCCAGCCAGCTTGGTAAATGCTGGCTGGGGGATTTTGGGAACAGTGATCAAGAGATAACCTTCCCAAGCTCTGAGAAGCAATGCTGACTTGCAGAAACAGTACACTTATTCAATACTTCATGAGCATGGGTACTGAAAGCCAATAAAACACTCCTGGTCTTTCCTTTTGGGGCAACATGAGTGGAATGAGGAAGGCATTCTCTTTCCTGTGTAATATAAAACCATATCAAACCCTATATAGTATTAAACCTTGGGGATCAGGAGAATATTAAACAAGAAGGTCCTTCTCCATAAAGAGAAGGGGCAAGGGCAGGCCCAAGATTACATTGGGAGGTGACCCAGCTAGCTAAATTGGATCACAGAGACTCCTATGTAGCTGACATTTCTCAGGTATAAGTGATCAGAAGTGTACTATATGAACAAACTTTAAGAAATATTAAAACAGTTGTGCAACCCAAGAGCAAATAAAGGCTGCCTACAATTTATCCTATCTTTCTTGGTAACGAGCTACACTGAACTCCTGGAGGGAACTTCACCATACACACTGTCCATGCTTGTAGGGGTCTTCATATTAAGTAAGATCCAAAGATACTAGATAGGGAAAAGTATTTGCCCACTCCCTGCAAGTATTTAGTAGGAAAAAGCGATAACAACCAACCTCCCAATGTTGAGCCCCTATTCCTTAAGAATAGTCTCTGTCCTCCTCCAGGATCAAAGGTGACTTTGATGAAGTGTTAACAAAAGAATTACTTAGTGATGGTGGTAGGAGCAGCCATACTGAGCAGCTATAGCAGCAGCAGTGCTGCATGCAATCTCTTGAGTGCATCTGGGAGTTACACACCATCTTAATTTCCAACTATGTCCTTGGGTGCAGCATTGCTAAATGACTCTGGGGCAAATTAAAATGGTGGGCAGCTGCCAATGTCAGCTGCCTACAATTAGCGGTTGGCTCAGCTATGGCTTTGGCAGCTTCCAAAAGAAGAGAAATAATGGTGTTGGCCCTGCATGTTATTTATACTCTTTTGCTAACACAGCAGGATTAACATCAGTTCATGAACCTGTCTTCTGTCTAATGTTCTTGCCATTGATGGCTAGCCATTACCGAATCATGTATCTTCTTCTGGAGTTTGAATCCATGTCCTAATCTCGAGAGCAATGTTTGTCAAACTCTCCTCCTCCAGGTGTTTTGGACTTCAGATCCCGGAAATCTGTCAGTTTACCAGCTGTTGGGAATTGTGGTAACTGAAGTCCAAAACACCTGGAGGAGCAGAGTTTGAAAAAGGCCCGGGGGTCGGATACGGCCCTCCAAGGTCATTTACCCGGCCCTTGCTCAGGGTCAACCTAAATCTGAAATGACTTGAAAGCACACAACAACAACAACAACAACAACAACAATCCTATTTCATCAGCCAAAAGCAGGCCCAACGAAATACTAATAAGCTTATATTTATTAAAATTGTTCTTCATTTTAATTATTGTATTGTTTTAAAGTGTTTTTTGCACTTCAAATAAGATATGTGCAGTGTGCATAGGAATTCATTCATTTTTTTCAAATTATAATCTGGCCCTCCAACAGTCTGAGGGATTGTTACCTGGCCCTCTGTTTAAAATGTTTGTGGACCCCTGCTCTAGAGCATCAGAAAACAAGCTGGCTTCTTTCTCAATATGACATCGTTTCAAATAGTTAAACATGGCTGTCATGCCCCCTCTTAATCTCTTCTCCCAGCTAACCATACCCAGTTCCTTAAGCTGCTCCTTGTGGGGAATGGCTTCTAAATCTTTTCCTATTTTAATCGCCCTGCTCTGAACACATTCCAGCTTGTCAATATCCTGCTTGAATTGTAGTGCCCACAGAAATCAAACTAGAAAACCCTCTGAGGGCGATTCCAGACAGCACCCAAATTTGTACCAAAACAGGTTTTAAAAACCCACCTTGTGTGAATTATTGTCCACCCCCCAAAAACCGGGCTGGCCACCAGGATGACACCCAGCCACCCCAACCCCCCCCCCCAAAGTTCTTAAAATTAGAAATAACTTAGCCAGCCGCCATTGAGATATTCCTGGAGTCCTCCTGGCACATAGAAAAGATGCACTAGGAGACGAGGAGGGCAAGGAGGAAAATCGCTCCTACTCAGCCTCCTGATGCGTCATTTCTATGCACCAGGAGGACTGCAGGAATACCTTAATGGTGGCCAGCTAAGTTATTTCTTCTTTTAAGGGCTTTGGAGGGGTGCCCTCTTGGTTTTCCAGGTTTATGGGGCCCAAAAAACTAAGAAGGCTGTGCGGATTGAGCCCTTGGGTCACGTGATGCGGTCTTCAGGCCCAGTCCATACTTGGCCCACATCTGATAAGGCCTGAATCTTACTAAAGATCCGGGTCTTACCAGGTATCTAATTAATTTGGGACAAAGAGGGTTTATCTGCTTTGTCCCAAATTAATTTGCTTTTACTGGAGGCATCATTTGGACGCGTCCAGTAAAAGTGCGACAGGCCCTGCATTTTGGGGCCTGTCTGGAAGGTCTCTGAGATAGGTTCCTTGTAAAGTGGCACCCTCCACATGATTTCAATTTTTGTCAACTCTATCTACCATGGTGAAGGGTTAGAAATGTTCAGTGGTGCAGTCCAAAGCACACTAAGACTACCAAGCCCAGGATGACGGCTTTGGAAACTAATGTGGAAGTAAGTCAGAGACTGGGTGGAATAAAAGGAAATGACTGCAGGACAAGGAAGTGAGGCTGCATATGACAATAGAAAAATGGGAGCTATTGGAGCAAGGTCCAGAGCATGTGTGTGCATGTGCAAAGAATTAAAAAGTAGGTGGCAAAGTGTCAGGAGGCCTCATCATGATTCAGTGCCAGGAGTATTGTGGAACTTAAGAGATTTTAACACCTGAAGTGATTGAAGGAGAAAGATTTGTGCCCTTACCGGGCAAAAAGCGAGCCTTGGAGGCACAGGTGAGAGAGCAGCTGTCCCTCTTTCCATTCTTGTTGCAGGACAATGTGGCTCTTGGCGGTATTGCACTGGCTAAGCATATCACCATCTCTGGAAGAGGAGGAGAAAAAGCATCAATTAACATGCATGAGGCAGACTCTGCCACTGAGATGAGGGCCACACCTCATTCTCCAGCAGAAAAAAACCAACAAGATTATTGTCTTCACTTGCCTCAGCTCTGAGTTTTGGCAACAAGTTGTGTGCTTGTGTTACTCTGGGTGTTTTGGCTTACTACCGATTCAAGAAGGCGTTCAGTCTATAAATCTAAATTATCAGTACTGGGCCACAACTTGCAGAATCATTTAAAAAGATCCGAATGGTAGAATTTTTGGATAGAATTTCTGTGGCACAAACGTCTTGAGATTTCCACTTACTATATTTTAAGAAGAGCGTGGTTCTAAATTTTATAGTGTGTTATCGAAGAAAAACGTGAAAACATACAAGATGTTTCTGCTAAAAAAGAAGGCATGGTTCTATGTTTTATTGTGTGCTATCAAAGAAAAAAATGAGAATTTCCAAGCGATTTCTATGAAAGAGATGGTTTCCTATGGTGGTTACCTGCTCCATTCCCATTTTCCTTGGAAAAAAATCATTTGCGGGCTAAGATGCATTCCACCTCTAGGGGGCAGCATGGCGCCAGTCCTTTTCTATACTCACCTATACAATCTTTTTTATTCCAATGCAGTTTGCACCCAGCAGGGCATGTACACTCATAACTGCCAGGAGTGTTTATACAGCCGAACTTGCAGCCTCCTCGGTTGATGCTACATTCGTCAATATCTGCAGGAATATAATTAACAAACAATTAATCAGACACATTGCACATAAGGAATGTACAGGGAGAAACCATCCATTCTTTTATGTCTGGACCTAGATCCGTAAGTTTAACTAATATACCAGCAAAATTGAGGGTCCCAAAAACTATTTTAAAAATGTATTCTGGTTTTAAAGGAATTTGGCATTCTCAATCCAAAAATGACCGCAGATTTGTTCCATCACATACAGTTTTTTCACAAATTGCTATGTTGCAAGATGTGACTGAAGAAAATTAGTATTGAAATTAATGAAAGAACTGTGTGTGCTATAACATTTTATTCTCTTTTTTAAAAAATATCAGCACCCAAATGTATATTGAAAACAGTTACAAAGTTGAAAAAATGTTTTTGCATCACATGCCTGTATAGTGGAGCAAAAAGAATTACATGTTGAGATTTTTTTTTTTTTGAATAAAGGTTTAGTGGGATTGATGGTAAGCAATGAATTCCTGCCACTACCCTTGCCATTTGAGCAAGGCACTATCATCTCAATTAATTAATTATGTTTGCTCTGCCCACAGTGTACATGATATATTATATCATAAGCAGAAGAGACAAGTTTTGCTTCCAAGGTGTTGACATATTTGTCAAGAGGAAGAGGGCAGGAAAAGACAAGGCGAGTAAAGGATGAATGCGAAGAAATGCAGCTACAGATAATGAATTATGAAATGTAATTAAGAAAAAGCTAGGAAAGAATTCCTCATGCAGTAGCATTTGAACTGTTGAACAGATGTGCATCCTACAGTTCACTGTGGCCACGGTTTTGCCCCATGGGCTTCCCTCCTTTCAAAGTACTGTTTCCCATATGCTATAATTCCTTTTCATTAGTTATCTTGGTGACATATGGGTCTCAGTGGGGCTCTACATCAAGCATATCAATGCGTTATATAGCATTTGAATATGGGTTTGTTTTCTGTGGAGCTGCAGACCTTAGCATACATATACAGCAAGGGTGTGAATTTGTGTCCCTCCAGATGTTGGACTCTGAGAGCTGTCATCTCTTGTCAGCATAGTTAATGGAGAGGTTTGACAGAAGCTGTAGTCCAACATCTGGATAGCCCCATATTGCTCTCCCTGAGGTAGAAGTTTGTGCTTATTGTTGCTATTCTGCTCTCATATAACCCTTTCTCTCTGTCCTTTTTTTGCCACCAAGACTACATGGTAAACACACACATAATACAATAAGAATACTCAAGATATATCAATATTCTTTGTCAGATGTTTGCAACTGAAATAACTAGTGACTCAAACAGTGGTGCAACTATGAATCTTAGACCTCTGCACTTCAACTGGATTGTCCAGCTATTCAGGTTTTTATAATGAATATCAGACAAATAACTGAAATGCACAAAACCATTTTAGAGACTGGACTCCTATAACTGGGGATGTGTCTTGAGAACATTTCAAACATCAACCATTCATTGCTGCACACAACTGAGTTCTATGCACATTTGTATTATTCTTCACACCTGGGCTCATTAATTTTAGACATTTTCAAAATAGTATCTAGATCAGTGGTTCTCAACCTGTGGGTCCCCAGATGTTTTGGCCTTCTAACAGCTGGTAAACTGGATGGGATTTTTGTGAGTTATAGACCAAAACACCTGGGGAGCCACAGGTTGAGAACCACTGATCTAGATTAACTACAATCATGGTGTTTCAAACTGTTCTATTAATGCTAATCCTACCTTCATCCTGGGTCATGTAAACCTCCTTACCTAATCCTATTGAGTCTCTGCCTTCCATCACACAAAGCATTGGATTTGTACAGCACTTTAAAAAGACTGCTATACTTTATCATCCCAATCTTGGTTTTGATAGAAAAAATATTTTTAGAAAATCCTATTGCTCTCACTTGATACAGAAAGGATCATGGAAGAGTCACAACAGTGTGGGAATTTAATCTAGAGATCCAAGGAACACTGATGTTAAGCACTGCTGTACTTTCATATCCAATACCCTTCACACTGATACATCTGAAAAAATCCACATTCCTCTGGTCCAATATCTGTGGCTTTTACAGCAAATGGTAGCTGTATTTTTTACCAAGCCATCTTGCCAAAATTATCTCCTTTGCTCAAACTATTAAAAGTTGAAATTTGAGCATTTCGCACCCAAAGGGGGGTAGGCATATTCTGAAGACATTTGTTAAGGTACAGCACTGTTCTATGACAACAGAGCTACAATTAGTAAACACATTTCTATATTCATCTATACAGTGGTCACCATAGTGAGGGGGAAATGGAATAACCACTATTGTATACAAAGACATCAAACTACATCATCTCTGCTGCTGCCAACAGAAAATAATAGATCATCAATGAGGAGCAAAATTACTTGCCAGACCCTCTTTTAGAAAGTTATTTCAGGGATCAAGAGCTGAATGGAGAACAGAGGAGAAATGGAAAAGCCTAGTACTTGAAGTTCAAAAGGCAGCTGTGTCAGATACCCTGCCAATTTTGTCTCCTTTCAGCATTCTCCCAATCTTCTTGCATATAGAACCACAACCATGGAAATTCCACAGAAATCATGGAAATCAATGCTAAAGGTCTGGCCTGGAACCAGCAAACAATGAGAGAGAATGGATCAAAACAACCCATGAAAGCGCAGCATTGTTTTCAAAACCTCCACTTAGAAATGTTTCAGTCTTCCAAGATTTGCCAAAACACACTCCCACACAAAGGGGCACATTAAGGTCACAGCTTTGCTCCCAACTTCTTGAGAGTAGGTTGGGTGCTGACTCACATGGCATTGCCAAGGCATGCTTGGCTCTATACCATCTTGTTCCTTTATATAACTCATTTTCTTCCATCCTAAGAATTGCCACACTCTCCTTGAAATCTAGTTCTTGAACTTCTTAGAAGGTGGCAGCTTCTTACTTCTCAGAAATCTGGTATATTTTCTGAATAAAGCCACCCTACCTTAAAATTCAAGGACAGAAGCCTTGTTCTAAGTGAGAAGTAACAGTCTTCCCTCAAGGGTGGAAAAGGAGAGAGAGGTGGCATCATTTCATAAGAGTCACAGAAATGTTAGATAACAAACTGGTTCATCAATCAATAGATTTAAGTTAACGTTGTCTAACATTAAGCTTAATTGTGGAACTGCTTGTCATATTCCTCAGCTTCCCTCTTAAGTTCCATCCCTGGAGGAAAACAAAACTCCTGAAGCTTATATTAATGTCCTAAAACAGCACTGAAATACAGGTTGGTGGTTTGGTGTCGTATTTTATAGGATTCCTGTGCTGTTTTCAGTGTGAATCAGAGAATTGCAAAGACACTCTTAAAGAATGCTCAGCAATCTATCTATATAAATAAAAATGTTCATTTGTGGGATTAACATAACTTAAAAACCACTGGGTGAATTGACACTAAATTTGGACACAATACACCTAGCAGGCCAACGAGTTACCATCACTCATAAAAACACTAAAAAACACAGCAGAAAAGACCTTAAAAGCCAAAAAGATAAAAATTACATTACAATGCATGTGCAAAACCACATATATACACACATACACAAATATATACACAAATATATACACACACATATATACACACAAAACACATATACTCAGACGGGGCCACAGCAACGCTTGGCAGGGGATGGCTAGTTGAATAAAAAAGGTAAAGTAGAGAGATAAGCATTCTGTAACTCTCTAGATTGTCATTGGACTATAATTCTCTTTAGCTCAAGCTAGAACAACGAACAGTGAGATGTAGTGGAAACCGCAATCCAATTACAGGTGGTTCCCGAGTTTAAACACCTGATTTACAAACGACTCATAGTTAAGAATGAGGGTGAGAGAACAGGAATTTCCCCTAGGAAGGAAAATTCATCCTGAAAGAGTTATCATGGGGAAAAGGTATCTCCACTAAAGCTTTCTTACAAATCCTTGTTTTCTCAACAAGCTAAACTTTTTAAAATCCAGAGGGAGAGAAAGTTATGTAAAATCTGAACAGGGGTACAGACAGTAAAACAAACACTATGGGGGTGTTAACCCTTCCCTGTGCTATAGATACAGAAAGAGAGAGATAGAGATAGGAGTTATATTTTTAAAAATGTACCTGTTCTGACTTAGATACAAATTGAACTTAAAGACAAACCTACAGAACCTCTCTTGTTCATAACATGGAGACTTCCTGTACATTTGGAGGTGTCATCACTCCTTTTATTCGAGTAAAGGCTCTTTTCTATGACAAACAAATAACCTAGTGCCAGCGCTTACCCAATCTTCTTAGTTTTCCCCTTTAAATGATTCCCAAGAATTAAGTTTCTAAAACCTCATCTAGTTACTAATCTAATTTCCTTAGTCGCAGTATTCATATAGATATGATCTCTTATAAAATAAATAATTAAAATAAGAACAGCTGTTCTAAGGAAACTGGAAGGATTGGCTAGTTCAGAAATATCTTACAGGGGTCAAGGTTTTGAAGGACTGCTCAGTGCCGGCAGCTTGTCAAGTCATAAGGGTCATGGAAAGGATTTGTGGTAGAGGAGGCAAAACTGAGAAAGGAGGTCAAAAAATACCTTGGGATCAGAGGGACAGTCAGAGGAAGGTAGAAGAATCAAGGTTCATAAGGAAGTATGGTTGAAAGGGTGGCTCATCACGGAAGAGAAAGAAAGAAAGAAAGAAAGAAAGAAACAGGGAAAATCCCAGTCAGGGTTTCAGGACGGTATGTTCCCCTAAAATAGGGAGGACTGAGAGGTGAGGAGTGCTGCACATAAGGAAGCAGAAAAGAGGAAATTTCATGCAACTTTAGAACAATAATCATTGTTTGTATAAAATGGTGTGTAAAGGTGAGGAGGACAGAAATTAACACACTTTTCCGAAGTAACTGGGAAAATCTTTGGCTGCAGATGTCTCCTTTATAATCTAAGTTCTTATTCACTCCTTGGAGCCAAGAAAAGCAGAATGCAGAGAAGCCATAAGTGTACCACAGTATTTCAATCTTTTCTTTCCAAGCT